GACAGGTGCAGGGGTCACCTTTGTGTTCATGTGAAGTGTGGTCACTCGGCTCGCCTGGAAGGCACTGCTCCGCTCGGTTCGGCGGGCTCTGACGGGTCAGAGGAGCCCGTCCGCACTGCCCGGGTCTGCCTGGGGGTGGGAGGAGGGCTCAGGAACTGTTTGGCATGATCCAATGCATAAAGATACAATTGGCGATTCCAAATTAGTTGGGCATATAAGAAGAAAAATACAAATTAATGAGCAAAACTTCAAATTTAAGGGAAGCAATGCTACAGTGGAAAAATATACAGTGTATCAGCAAGACCAAGTTTGGAGGATTGTGTCTGTACGTTTTGCAGGCTGCAGTTGCAGGCTTTGTCACTCATCTGCTATTGCAGCTGGGAACACCGCTAATAATGGGAATATCCTCCCCTCCACACAGCTGTATCCGGAACTGTGCCTGACGGAAGAGGAGCAGAAGCTCCTGACCCAGGAAGGAATCTCTCTGCCCAACAACCTGCCCCTCACCAAGGTAACCTGGGCTCTCCATGGCGACCTCGCCTTGGCGAATTGCTGCTCTGTCCCTGGGTCTCTGCTGGGTGGGGTGGCTCTTTGCCACCATTTTGTGGCGCTAACCCGCGCGGCTCCTCTCTCCCGCCGCAGGCAGAGGAGCGGATCCTGAAGAAAGTTCGCCGAAAGATCCGCAATAAGCAGTCGGCGCAGGACAGTCGCCGGCGGAAGAAGGAATATATCGACGGGCTGGAGAGCAGGTGAGCCGGCCGCTGTTGGAGCACTTCCGGGTCAGGGGGTGGGGTTTTAATGGTCAAAGGTCAGGGGGGGGGGGGTTTAAATGGTGAAAGGTCAGCCAGGCGGTAACAGTTTGGTCTGGTCTTGGATGTTCACCAAGTGTCAGTACCAGGCCAGGGAGACACCCAGCACAGGTGATTCAATATTTGGAAAGCAGATTGCTGATATCAAACTATAATCTGTACAATCAGACTTGGAATGCCAAAGCTAAAATCACTGTTAAACCTAGCTCTTGGTTGTTTATGGTCATTGATAGTCCCATGTTGCTACTCAGTATGGTCCAGGGCAGGTTGTTTCTAGGTAGACTTCGCTGTTGGAATTTGCAGTGTTGTCCTGGCTTGTGTGTATGTGGGCGTCTTTAACCGTCGTTGTATGTGCTGGGTCCTTAGGGTGGCAGCCTGCTCCGCGCAGAACCAGGAGCTGCAGAGGACGGTGGAACAGCTGGAGAAGCACAACATGTAGGTGACACATCTGGGAGGGAGCTCACCGCAGTGCAGAGCTGGCGGTAACACAGGTGGTCCCGACTCCGAGGAACCAGGCAGGCAGAGCTTATTTGTTCAGGCTCTGCAGGGCTTTGGAACGGGAAATGCTGAGCAGCAGGAGAGGAGCTGTGGTTAGGAGAGATGGATCAGGGTGGTCATTATGCCAAAAGAGAGATTTTAATGTGGATGAAGTGTGCATGGCGAGGGTGTTGTGGATCACTGGCGCTTCCAGGAATGAGTTCATTCCTAGAGCAGCGATGCTCACCACTGTGCTGTCCTTCATCTGTGTCCAGGAAACAAAAAAGTATATATTTTTTAAATGTCACGGGCTGTGCGTACGTGAGCGATGTCATTCTTTTCCGGTCGGTAAGGTTTTTAATGCGAGTGAGGCCGAGAGTGAGTGAAGGGAGTGGGAGAGAGTGGGAGGCCTGTGCGTCATTTCTTTTTTTTTAATGGGGTCTGGTGTCACAGGTGCAGTAGGGGTGTGTCTGCTCCAGGGTGTCATTTTGTCGGGCCGTTTCGAGTCCGGGACACCCCGCCGTGGAGGCGCCTGCGGGAGAAATCCGCGGGCGGCGCCTTGCGAGGTCGCGCCCGTGTGCCGCGGGCTCTTGACACGCCTGTCCTGTGTTGGCAGGTCACTGTTAGCCCAGTTAAGGAGGCTGCAGTCTCTGATCAAACAGACGGCCACCAAGGCAGCTCAGACCAGCACCTGCATCATGGTGAGACCTCCCCGCTTGTCCCCCTGTCTGTCTAGCCCGTCTACTCACGATCGCCGCTCCTTGAGAACTGATGGTGCAGATTCTTACAGAATTAAAAACTCTGTCTGTGTAGCTGCCTCATTCAGGGGCCTTAATTGTGTCTGACTTGTCTGTTTGTGTGAGTCTCTTCATTTCTGCTTAGTGCAGTAAATAAAGCTATTTAGTCTTCTTTTATTTTTATGGTATTTATATCAACCCTTTAGTTTCGTTAGTGGGGGTTGCAGTAAGTCCTTTGAATTGAAGCCTTATCCGTAATGTGTTCGTCTTTGCCTTTTTGTAACCTGTTTTTCTTCGGAAAGACTTTGCAGATGTACAGCAGAGTCCCGATTATCCAACCTAAACGGGACCCCTAATATGTCAGATAATCAAGAAAACGTCGGATAATGCGGAGACCGAGTAGACAAATCATAGATTAATGGAAGTATAAGTAGGAAATCTGGTGTATTCATCGAATAGAGTATATAACTAGTAGTAGTTATTATTTTACAAAATTGGGATCTGTTTCCCAGATGTGCTCCGTCTCAGTAATATGACATCGGGACCGGCTGCCTCCTCTCGTTGTGAGTTAGTGCCGCTTCTTGAGCCTGGACCACTCCGCTGTGAGGGAATCTTTCCGATCTGTCGAGTCCCAGCGCAGACTTGTTAAGGGAAGACACAATAGGAAAAATAAAAAGACCGCCATCACTGTAGGTACACTACAGGAATAAATCGCGAGCGCAAACGGGCAAGCGAAGCTACGTCAATGGCGGTACGTGATGCACTGTGGGACAAAGCAGGATGGGATTGGGCAAAATATTATGCATGCGCACGCATACCGTATAGAGCATGTTAATCGGCTATGTTGGATAATCGAGGCTGTACTGTGTTTCAAAATTGGACGACTGCACTATCTGTCCCTGCTTTTGAGATTCACAGCCAAATCGTAACGGCCAAGAACCCCCCGCTGATCCCCGGCTTCGTTTACAGATCATCATCTTCTCCCTGGCTCTGATCCTCTTCCCCAGCTACAGCCCCTTCCGCTGGGGCCCCGCGGCCGCGGAGGAGCCCTACGCTCCCAGAGGGGGTGAGTCACCGCCCGCCGGCTGCCCGCTCTTTCCCACGATACCCCAGCCTTCAGCCCTGCCACAGAGAAGGGGGGGGGGAGGTTGGATTTATAATGGATCCCATTATAATCTCTCCCCCTCCCCCAAAGCTGCATATGGTAACTGTGACATTTGCCTACACCTGTAGGAAGTGCTCAGGTTTATACTTCCTGGTACTCTGGGCCTGTGGGCAATCTGTCAGTTAGTCTTGAAATGTGGAAGATGCTTTGCAAAGAATGATGGGATTGACGTGCCTTGACACACCCGAAGGGGGCTCCACAGCTGAAACATTGTGTGTCTTTTCTTCTCTTTTCAGCCTGGAATAAACCTGAAATGATAAACATTAGTAGCTGCACACAGCTCAGATGTGAGCAAACTGAAATGATAATCGTATTTAGGGGAGTTAGTGTGGGTTTCCTCCCATAGTCCAAAAACATGCTGGCCGGTTAGTTGGCTTCTCTAAGGTTAGCCCTGGTGTGAGTGTTTGTCTGTGTCGGTCTGCCTGTCAGTGGACTGGTGTCCTGACCAGGGTGTACCCTGCCTTGCACCCGTTGCTTGCTGGGATAGGCTCCAGCTCCCTCCTAACCCAGAATTGGACGAATGGGTCAGCAAATGGATGAATAGATGGGTGAACACTGTCATTTTGAGCTATTGGTTTGCTCGTTGTGAAAGCCGTGGAGGTCATTTCTGCAGTGCAATAATCATTCAGTTTTAATACATCGTAAGTACTTCCAAGTGATATACCATATTTACCCCCAATATACGCTGTCCCAGAAGCCACAACCAGAAATGTGGTCTGTGGGAATTGGAAAAAAACTTCACAAAGCACAAATTAGCTTTCTGAATTGTGGAAATGAAAAACAGTGTTTTGGTTTTAAATAATTTTAAAAACTAAAGGAAAATGGAGAGGACTTTAAAACACAAAATGTAAATAATACCAAGATGAAGACCATGCTCTCTTCTCTAAAACCCTTCTTGCTTCCCTTTCCAAATGAGAGCTTTTCCTCCCTTTGTACCTCGCTCGTCCACCCCGGACTGCCTTGTGGCCGTGCAGTCCGGCACACAGGATCACCTTCCTCATCGCAAAAGTGTACTATGACCTCTTGATCATTTGGGCGAACTAAAACTGTTTTCATCACTCGATCGCAACAGCATGTCAGAGCCAAGCAAAATGGCGGGCTGTTACAGTCAGCGCAGACAGGTCAGCACTGTTCAGCGCCCCAGTGGGACACATGCCAACCCCCCGATCGACATCTGGATCTTCTTTCTAACTTGCGTTTTGAAATACGTCGCAGGCCAGTTGTGCCACCCTGAAATCTGGGGGGAAAATGTGTAGCTTATATCTTGGTAAATACCGGAGGTAGCACTTGTAGGCTTCTTCTGCTGTAGACAATAGCGCAAGACTTCAGGTCAGTACAGTAATACTTCAAGTAGTATAATTGAAATATCAAATATCACATAATCAAAGTCCTTAGCTGATCAAATTCTCTTGATCCCTTTTGCCTTTTGTGCTCCAGCATGATGGGGGTTCCCCTTTGAACTTCTACATTTTTATTATCTTGAAGCCTCCAGCTTTCCAATTGAGGAAGAAACTTGAAAAGACTCAAATTGAGGTGCTTATTAGTTCCGTCAAGGGCCTTGGCGCAGTAAGTGAGGCCTCGGCTGGAATGAAAGCCAACCATTGTGGGCATCCTAAGGCCTGTAACTGGAGATCCCTGCTATTGGCAAAGAGCCACTCTATATGTGTGTCTTCTGCCAACTGTAACTGTACAACACTTAAGCCAGGAACAGGTTATTCTGACAATTTCCCAGGTTCCGAGAAAGCTCATAGTATTCACTATTCAATGTCTTAATGCAGTGGCATATACAGTTATTTAGGTAATCGAATCGGCTTATGTTTCGTCTTTGTATGAAGGAAACAATAGCTGGAATCTAACAGGAAGACTCGAGAGCGCAGAAGTGTAGGACGGCAGGAGCAGTCTTTATTTCCCGTTCCTGTGCAAGCCTTACAGCAGGTAGAGCCATTGAAGGTAAATGCTGAGAGGGGACAGCAGCAGCCTGGAGCCATCCTGCTCCATAATGAGCTCTCCGCTCCAGGCTGGGCCAGGCCAGTTGGACAAGCTGCAGGAGGGGCGGTGCTGCCTGGTGCTGCTGGAGTCGGGTTTGAACACAAGGCCTCAGCCAATCAGTGGAGCCCATTTGCTGGCGACCGAGTGAGCTCATGCTGAATCTGGAGGGAGGGCGCCTGCTCTCACTCGGTTTAATGCCACCAGACCTGGGGTGGTGAGCTCGGGGGCGCACAGAGCTTGTACCACCCCCCATCCGTCCCCATCCGGGCTTCACGTGACCCAGACTGATCACCCGTAAAGAGAGAGTGAAAATGGGAAGCTGGTGCTGAAGGCATCTTTTCCCTTCACGAATTTGACCTTCCCACCCCAAAACCATCCCATCAGAGAGTCTGTGTCCATCTGCTTCTTGAATTCCACGCTCTTGAAGTTGCATTGTCAAAGACTTTGCAGTGGTTCACAGACCATGTGACTGGAAAGTGAAAGGACAAAGTCCAGTCAACATTCAGGTATGCAAGAGGGATTTACAGCCCATTGCAGTGGAAAAACAACTTTGTACAACTCAGATAAGTTTACACGGGGTGTGTTTATCCAAAGTCTCCGATAAGAGGTGTGTACTCCAGGTGTCTGTATAACAGGAATTATAAATTCTAGGTTTAATTAGACCAGCTTAACAGCTTGTCCAAGTTTTTCAGGTGTTGTTTAAAAGGACTGGAAAAATTGCAGACACAAGCCCTCCAGGACTACAGTTATGGTCTAAGTGATATGCGATCTGCCTCATAGTTATATACATGATAACATAATCCTGATGCAGATAGTCTAAGAACTATCCCATGCCCCACGCTAACCCAGTGCCTGTCATTGCAGTTATTTCCAGAAACATCCTCACCGATTCAGCTGCCTCCCACGAACTGGACGTTGGCCATGATATCGAAGCTGGACATGACCTCCCGCCCTCTTCGGCGGTCGGCGGCCAATCGGACGACCCCGGCCCGCCCCCGGTACTCTTTCAGCAGCCAATCGCAGGCCCGGAGGCTGCCACCCCAGAGGGAGCTGTTCAGGAGCAGAGCCAACCCAGGAATGGGTCGTTAAAGGAAGAGGGAAGGACTAACGAGCTGGCGATGAGTCTGGCAGCAGGGAAGGGACAGGGGCCAGCGAGTGCGGACTCTGCGAAGCCCGCCCACGCCGATGAAATGTAGATGTCCCTGTTTTTTTTTTCCAAAAAGTAGGAGGATGCAAGAATTGCTTTTTTTCCCCACCAAGTACTTTGTAGAAGAGGAGCGACCAAGTCCATTCTTCAGTGTTACAAGGCGCTTTCCGACTTTCATTCCATCTGGGATTCCGTTTCCAAATACTGACTTTTGATGGTGATTTTTAACTGTTTTGTTTTTTTTGCTCACCCTGGAGCATTTGAGTTGCACTTCTGTAGTGCACTGCTCATCACAATCCACTCTCAGCAGAACCCAGCGATCAAACACTGGGGCTGGAGAAAACCAAGTGTGCAGCAGTATATCAAACCCCACTCCAGCCTGACTATAGAGTCATCCTCATTTAGGCCTGGAGGGAGGTGTCCGTCTTTAAACAAACCACCATTTAGAGCTTGGCATGCGATAGGGCAGTTGCTCTGGAGTGGCTCTTGTTGTGAAGGAGGAGGGCGTGAGTTTGGGTTAATTTCTCCTCCCAAGAAATGCCTCTTCCTGTAGGAGGGTGATTGCCCATTGCACAACATACTCCATTGGCCTATTGATGGCACACCCTGATCTCTGATTTACCTTCCAAAATCTGAGCAGACTGGGGATTGACTTATGATAACCCATCTAGTATCATGAAAGACTGTGGATCTGATGAAGTCAACTGGGCCATCATTGTGCTAGAACTATTTTAACTTTCTTATTTTTCTTTTCAAGGAAGAACGGTCTTGAGTAGGCTGCAGGTGAGCATGAGCTGAAAAGGCAGACCATGAGAGCTCACAGCCTGAGACAAGGAGGTGGTGTGGGGCTGGTTGCGTGTTAAGCGGATGTGGGATTGAAGTGCTGTGGTGTGTTAAGACAAGGCATCAGTTTGGATTCTCGGGCATTATGGGACTTGTAGGTTAGCGCAGTTTGCCAACAGAGAACAGGACAAGAAGAACACGTGGACTTGTATGGCACAAGGATAAGGAGAAAGTTTTGCATCACCAGGAGAAGAGGGTTTACAGTCACCTGCCAGCTCTCCTTGCTGCTGGAATTGATCTTTCTTCATCAGTTAAGTGATGTTTAGCATTCAGTGGCGCCAGGAAACAACGGTACTGGATCAGGTGTGTGTAGGTCCAGTAAACCTGCAGTTGGAATAAGTGTCTACAGCACATACTGATCCGAACCACTGTAAGCAGCTCGTTGAGACGCCTTGTACAGAAATGTTTACATCTGTCCCATGAGCAAATGTAAACTTGTAATGGTAGATTTTCTTCAGTCTTGCATGGGCCTCATCCCAGCGAGGCCTTTACACATTGAGACACACTGTGTAGACAGTCTTGGTGGAGTCTGCATTCATAAGTGAGTGTGTGTGTGTGTGTGCACATGTACACCTGTACTTACTGCTCTTCATACCTGCTCAGTAACTTCTATTGGACCATATGGGTAACCACCCAGTTCCTCAGCCTTCAGAATGACTGGGATCCTACTGCTGAAATATTTTATTTTCTGTATTTATTTTGTATAAAGGGGAGAATATGAAGAAGATTCTTGTTTTTTTTATATATGTATTGAGAAATGGGGATGTATGGTGTTCGTTACTTCACGTTTGGAGGAATACCTGCATTGGCTTCTTTGTTAATTAATTTACACTTTCTAAGTAAATTCTTTAACTCAGTTTCCTAAAATAGCCTTTTCTTTGCTAGATGATGACAAGTACACAGGGATTATGGGTGTGGGGGTTAGGGCACATGTTGACGCATTCGTGCAATATAAAAAACGTCCTGAAAGAACATGTAATGCTAACAACCAGACAGTGAACTCATCACAGCTCCTCCGCTCTTGGGTGACTCACTTTGTCTAAGGTTTACAAATACAGTTAAGTAAAATACACAACAAAATTCATCAGCAGACATAAAAGAATTATGAAACATCTGCAATGAAAAAGCATCCATTCATCGACAAAATCAAACCGATCATAATGCAGATACCATGTACAATTTCATTAACGGCTTGTGTTCAGTGCTTGTATGGAGTAGGAGATAAAGCACCTTTTATACACATTTCTGACAGCTCCTGAAATGTGTGCCAGCTGGAAGGATTGCAAACGGAGAATTCAGGGGATGGGAGTTGGCCTTAAATTATACTTGGAAAAATTGAATTATACTTCAAAAGATCATGTATCTGATTTGTAGACGATTGAGCACTGCCTATCACATGACCAGGGCCTGCACTCTTCCCTGCATTAATCCTCCTTCACTGCCCTTGCACATCTTTAGAGAGCCAAGCAGTTCTGTGGAGGAGATGACGAAACTCCACAGGGCGTAGCTGGGCCTGTTCTGCTTGAGGAATCTGAGGCGGTTCCTGATGGTGTCCTTATGCAAGTTATCAATAGTCAACCTCCTCCAAAATCTCTCCTGGATTCCTCTGGTCCACAGGTACCTGTGGGAAGTAGGGTGGAGACAGCAGGGTGCCATCTTGAACACTTGTGGAGGAAGACGGGGCAGGCTGATCACCCACAGACCTGTGACTGTCAGGCCCTTAAGGTGGAGACATCCTCATTCTGTCCCACTCCGAGAGGCAGCGTTCACAATATAATCCTCAAACTATCCCATTAGTCTGCTTGTCCTCACTCGACGGCATGAATGAACATGCAGCCAGTGTTCGGTTCTTTAACATCACAGTGTACAGTACGCCATTAAAGCGGCCAGCACTTCCTGCAGCCTTAACAACTGCGCCCTCTGCTGGTTTCACAGGATAGTGTTTCATTTCACTGCCCCTGATGCTGCCCGAGTTGGGAGGTGAATGGAGACCCGCTGCTGGTGTCCTGGACCCTACTGCTGCACCCAGACTCAGAGTCTCGGGTGTCCTGCCCTGATCTGCGCTCAGAAAGCCACGGGCGTGCCAGCAGAATTCGGTGAGTGTGGGGGGTCCGTCGGAGCTGGGGCTCTGCCGGGCCGGGGAGAAGAATTTGATGTAGGTCCCGGTGTAACATCCCCCACTATGGCTACATCCGACGGAAAAGCAGAGAGCGACACATTTAAGTGGTGTTCATAAGGGAAGTTCAATCAGACTCAGCTCTCAGTAATTCGCAATCAATCCTGATGTCATTTCCTCTCCTAAACATTATAAATACTAGACATTACCCCTTTCATAGCCTAGCGTATGTCTTTTGCATGGACTGTGCTACTACCCTGCATTCCCCCTATATATATATATATTGTAATACTTTGGGGTTCATGTGGGTTCCCTCACCGCTGCCACATCAGGTCGGCCCCCCACTGTCAGGGACTCGAACCCCAGCCTCTGGCATCACTCAACAGGGACCCAGCCTCTTGAGCCAAAGGGAGATCTGCCCTCAGCCCAGACGGTGGTAAGCCAGCCAGCTGGTAACGCATGGTGGCCGTATGTGTTACAATATATATATATGTTTTTTTTCCATCCATCCATCCATCCATTCCCTAACCACTTCATCCCATCCAGGGTTCTGGGAGAGCCGGAGTCTATTCCAGCAAGCAATGGGTGCAAGGCAGGGTACACCCTGGACCGGACGCCAGGCCAACACAGGGCAGACAGACACAGACACACTCGCACCAGGGCCAGTTTCCCAGGAGCCAATGAACCCACCAGCATGTCTTCAGACTGTGGGAAGTTTCGAGAGAAATCGTGTTTGAAACGAAACGCCGACATGAGTCTCCGGAAGCAAACCCCTAGTGATTTTCTGAAACAAATCATTGGAAGACCAGTAGTGGTGAAACTGAACTCTGGTGTCGATAACAGAGGAGTCTTGGCCTGTCTGGATGGCTACATGAACATTGCTGTGGAACAGACAGAGGAGTATGTCAATGGGCAGCTGAAGAATAAGTATGGAGATGCTTTCCTGCGAGGAAACAATGTGTTGTACATAAGTACTCAAAAGAGGAAGATGTGATGAAGAGTATTTTCTTTTTAAATCTGCTTTCAAGTTTTACTTTTGTTCAAGCCTGTGTTCTTTTTATGTTTCATTGTTGGAACTTTTTTGAATGGAAGTCATTTTTTGTTGTGTGAAGAAAAGACCTTGAATAAATGAACATTTGAGTTAAAAAAAAGACTGTGGGAAGAAACCAGAGCACCCAGAGGAAATGCAGGGAGAACATGCAAACTCTACACATATACCTTGAAATAGGATCTCTTGTCCTTCTTGAGTAACTTATCTTGCTGCGATCAATCATCTACTTCAGCCTGGCAGATCTCTGTGTATTCGTTCATACAGGCTACATACTGTATATAACCCATGCCGCAGATCAGACGAAGACAAAGATTATTAATGTCAAGAGACCGTTTAGCTGTCTGGGGAAAGACGAGGCGACAATTTCCATTTCATCAAACTGCGAGCGGAGAATGAAACTTCCTTTACGATGAATTCTCTGCCGTCACGCACTTTGCCACTGGAAAAGCAGCCTCAACACCAGGCTGTTGACCCTAAGCCGAGTGACGTCACAAGAGGGTGTCCCACGACCCCGAGTACTCGCGCACTTGACGTCTACACCCGCGCTACGTCACAGAAGTGCAGACACCGGCCGGGCGGACCCGTCCCGCACACTGGGGGAGAAACGCCGCCTCCTACCGCGCGGGGGCGCTGCCTGTGGAGGGCGGCAGGTCGCGGACGCGGAAGTTGTCCGTCCTCTCCGCGGCTCGGTACATTTCAAGATGGCCGGGTTTGGCGGAGGCGGTCCGTAAATCCTGGAGATTAAAAACTTTCCGTTTAAAGGACCGATCGGATTTAAAACGTGAAAACGCCGAACGAGAGGAGATGTCGGGAGAGCCGTAGCCTAGCGGGACCGGGGGTGGGATGACGGAACCCGTGTAGAGAAGGCGGCCTATTTTTGTGAGTTTATTCTTAATTGTTGGCTTTCTGTGTCAACAAGAAGGCTTTTCGGTGGAGTTTAAATTCACACACTTTGTGGGACATTCCGCGGTGTGTAGCTACCCTCTTTAACAGTCTTCCCAGTCGCCGTGATGAGTCTTGTGCGTCCGTTATTAAAATCTAGACCTCTGATGAGTTTGAAACCTCCCTCTTTTCCAGCTCCTGCTCACAATATGACCAGTCCTTTCGCCTTATTTCGCTCTGGTATGAGCTAGGCAGTCAGGACGGTCTGTTTTTCGTGTTTGTATTTAATCAGCTGTGGTTCCCACAGTAAGCGGCGATGCTCATCCATCTTGTGCGAGTTTACCTGATTTGATTTGTTTATACGACCTACAATTTCCGTGAAGGGCTCGTCTGAACAGTGAAAATCGAGTTTGAAGATCTGTTCAAGGGGAAACCTTCAGGTATGGATTATCAGAGCCCGCCGGGCTGACGTGGTTTTAATGAGGATTGGTGTCGGTGCTCATTAACTGGACTCGAGTGGCGTCACCGCGGCTTGGTGCTTTGTAAGGTCTGCTCTCTGCCGGCTGTTCCCAAAAGCGTATTAGCGAGGCCGTGCAATGTTATAACTGACATCCCTCAAAGTAATACGACTACCAACGACGAATCGAGTCTACGTTTTTTTGCTTGCAGGTAGTAATTCAAAGACCATGTCGTTGCTGTGCTAAAATGAACCGAACCCTAATACCGTATTTGTCACTACGTTAGCGGGTTTTCGTCATTTTGTTATTGCTGAATACGGTAGGGTGAGTCTGTAGCTTAGAGCAGGAATTTCCGATCCCAGTACTGCACCTGGGAACCCTCATAGTGTTTTTTTGTTCAAGCCCAGCTTGATTATGTAAATTGAGCCTTAATTTACCTAACAAGTTACAAAACCTGAAATCACTTTACATTAATCCTGTTAGTAATCAGTAAAGGGTTCAGCTCTTTAATTGAGCATGCACGTGGGCTAAAAAGCAACCAGCCAGGTGTGGGGTCCCCACTACCAGGATGGGGAACCCCTGGCTTATTGGACAACCCGCTGATATGAAAAAATCCTCCCTTGTCAAAGACCTCTAGGTAGTGTGACCCTTGACCCGTCAGGTCAGCTGTCCACTCCACAATGTCGCTAAGAATTTAAGAGAAATGAAGGTCATGCAAGCCTTGTAGGACTGGGGATTCCACTAGGAAAATACACAGAGGATGGATTTTAAAGCTAAAGACGGGAACCTGGGGTGCTATCCGTGTGGAGTCTGTATGGTCTCCTATGTTTGTGTGGGTTTCCTCTGGGGGCTCCAGTTTCCTCCCCCAGTCCAAAGACATGCTGGCAGGTTAATTGGCTCCTGGGGAAGCTGGCTCTGGTGGGAGTGTGTGTGTGGCCTGTGATGGACCGGTGTCCCATCCCAAGTTGTCCCCCTCCTTGCTCCCGCTGCCTGAATTGGAAGAAGCAGTTAGAAAATGGGTGGGTGGTTGGGGCTGGCTAAAAAGAATGTCACACGTTGCCAGGCAACTAAAACTCTTGGGTCTTAGAGATGACTATGTTTAGGTCTGATGGACATATTCCAAATCCTTAAAGGTTATTGATCATACCAACCCCGCTCAATTATTCGAGCTCCACAGTGAAAAGCAGAGCAGGGGAAAGAAGTGGTAGCTATAGAGAACAGCACCTAAGAACTAAGGAGGCCCTCTTGGTATATAAAGGGTTGTGGGAAGATGCGACAAGGCATCTTTAAAAGATGTGGCAGGGTGAGGCCATACAATCAGCTAAGGTAGGTGGTTCCTTACACATAGGGTGGTGGGAGTGTGGAACAAGCAGTCATGGGAGCTGATACCCTGGCTTCCCTTTAGGAGTGGCAGAATTACATCCTGGATTGATCAGCGAGTAGCAGTCAAACGGACGGCCTCCTCCCGTTTGTGCCTTTTCTTGTGTCGTATGGCAGTGTAGTATGATGGAGCTTCGGGAACGAGAACAGGATCGGCAGTATTATCCCCAAGGACTGCATTTGTTGGACGTCTGATTTCAAACCCTCCATTCCGGTCGTTCTCCGCAGTTTTTCCTGTTTCTGGATCCTCGACAGCGCCCCCCCCACCCTCACCCCCACCCCGCCTTGCAGAGGGAGGAAGATGCGGTGTTAGACCTGGGGGAGGTGTGTGCACCCTGCGCCCCGCCCTGTCCCTGACCCCCCGGCACGGAGAATGGAGAGCGACTGCAGAATCCCCCTGGGTGGTCTCTCCCAGCCCGGGCTGCTCGTCACCCCTCGAACCCTGGCCCTCTGCGCCTTTCTGTGGGGGCTAATATCGGTCAGGTGAGACGGGGGGATCCAGGGACAGCGTCGAGGTTGTGACGGCTGTTTCAGAAAATATACAGCAGCGATATTTTTTTTTTAAAAAGACGGTTATTTCTGGCAGCATAGCTAATGTAATTCTTAAGATGAAGAACTGTTTACAACAGTGGGTCCCGGTCCTGGCCCTGTCTTCTGAAATAAAGAGGCCGCTCTTTTACAAATTCGAATTAAAAATTACCATTTAAAAAATCAGTCTTGGTCCTAGAGAGCTGTAACTCCTATTTTGGCTCTTTAATATAAATCCTGGTGATGTTCTGACACTGGAACCAGTGATTTGTGGTCATAGATGTCAGAATTAAAGACCTCTCCGGTTGATTTTTTTTAATAGATTATTTATTGAATAGATTTTTGCTTTCTCCCCCTCTGAGGTGGAGTCTTATTTCTTAGACCTTAAGTCACTTCCTTTTTCTTTATCCAGAGTGTTCGGTGCTGCTGTCCTTGAAGAGGAAAAGACCCCAGGTACCCTCTCTTTTTATTAATCTCCCCCTTGATCCTCATTTGGTTTGATTTTCCGGGCCACAGCGTTGCCCACAACTGCTGTGTGTGTAACTGGCATATAAAAAGGGGGAAAAAACTTGTTTAACTAAAAGACGCAACACACCAGATTAGCCGATTACTACGCTAGTTGAGGATCACTAAAAAACAGATCAGCAAATACCTTGGCAGTTTAGAATTCCCAGGTCAGAAAGGAAAGCTTCTCCGTGCTGTAAAAAAAAAAAAGTTTTTCGCACTTGAAAGCCAAATCAATATTGAAAGGCCAACATTTGCTTGAATAGCAGTTCGGAAAAAAACAAAACTAGATTTTAAATCTCCCTCTTGCCTATTCTGAGGCTCCTGCGTGTTGTGGTGGTTACGGTTTCTGTACTCCATATGGTTCTGCGTGCGTGCGTGCTCACACTGAACCCTGCTTTCATCCCTCTGTGCGCTGTGTTCGCTGCTGACACAGTGCCGCCTGTCCCGGAGGCGTGGGATCAGCCCAGGGAAGCAGACGGGAGCCGTCAGGCTGGGGGTGTGCCCTCTCTTTTGCCTCTACAGAGCTGTCATCGCGACCTGCCTGTGTGTTTTGTGTTGCAGAGATGGTGGCGTTTGCCACCCCTTGCTGGCAGGTAGAGGAGTTTGTTGTGGCCCAGGAGTGCGCCCAGTGCAACTCTTTCCAAAGTGTAAGTGCCCCCCGGCCCCTCCCCCCCCGTCGCCAGGCCACACAGGAGCAGGGCCTCACTGTCCTCCCTCTCCTCTCCTTCTCAGAAGACGTGGCTGGCCTGCAGCTCCACGGGGTACGTGGAGAAGATCAACTGTGCCAAGTCCAACAAGGACGAGTACAAGAGGTGAGGACGTGGGTCTGGCAGTGTCCACGCAGCGAGTCGCTGGCCAGATTTCGCACACTCAGTTCGGGATGTGGGCCATGAGGTGCCGAGACACTTGAAGCCCGGTCCTACTCATTCTTCTGTCAGGGTCACCATCACAAGAGGCTGTAATAGTGTGTAGTTCTGTTTGTGGCCTCTGATTTCGGACCCAAATTCCTAGAAATGCCTGGGGTTGTGCTGCAGATGAGTTGAAGGGTTTGTGAACGAATTGAGGTACATGTTATTATACTTGTATAGAATCTAAAGGGGTACAAATTGGGACTGAATCTTGCAGTTTAGGTGGGAGCTTTTGCTTGTTCATTTCTTGTTCAAGAAATAGATAGCCAGGCTCTTCAACACACTGTCTCATTGACATTGCAGCCAGCTCTTGCTCTGTTAGGTGCTCAGATCTGGTCATGTTCCATTGGAGCAACACAGTTTCAGTGGGGTTGTGATCTGGGAGTTGGTCAACCAGGGACAGGAATGGAAGCTTGTGGTTGGCCTTGAAGAGCCCACTGTCTGCCACGGAGACTGCTCAGTTAGTGGGAGGATTGGACAGGGGATTTCTAATCTTTTGGTTTCTCTATACAGTATGTGCATGTGTTTTGGTCTACCACACTCCTAATCCTGTGTGAGTGACCCATAACCCTTGCAGCCCCAAGTGTGAAAAGTGAGTTAACTGGCTTGGAGATTCAGATATTTAGGGGGGGGCAGTAGAGACCGCTTCATTTTCGGAAAGCATTGATCAGAGCCCTGGAAAAACCTGCAGGATTGTGACAGGGGTCAGAGGTCATAAAGCTCTGAAGCTGACTGCTGACCCCCAGTCTTCTCTTTGGCCCTGACCAGCTGCCGCTCGGCTGTGATGGAGGAGCGGCGTTTCTGGAGGTTCGAGGGGACCATGGTGAGCCTCACCGTCCTCTTCGCCCTGGTGGTGGTCATGCGCCAGCGGGCTCTGGATCGCCTGGCCTCGGAGAAGGTCCGCAAGCAGATCGAGTCCATCTAGAGGCCGGGGTCGCTGGGGCAGGAGCCAGCTGCCTGCCGCACTGTGGGGGTGGACAAAGCCGCGCTGTTGTTTTGAAACAAAGATGTGGCCATGAGGGGTTTATGACAAAAAGGTTTACAATATTCTTCGAGCCACTGGTATTTGTTTTCGCCTAGTTTGCACGGGGGGGGGTCGAGGGAAGGAGATGATGGGAGTTCTGTGCCAGGACTGAACATTTCGCAGCTCGGCACCCTGGGATCTTCAGCTTGGGAAGGCCAGAGGAAAGGATAAGGGTGAAGATCTCCTGATGGCAGAGGAAAAACCCAGGAGTGATGCCCGAGGAAAACCACTCGGAACTTCTGCCTTTAAAGAGCATCTTGTCGCGCGCACCGTTCTTAGTCTGAGATGGGAAGGGGGCTGTGGTGCCCAAGACGAGTGGCCTTTCTGCCTGTTTTTTCTTTCCCATAACCATTTCTTCTCAAACATCCGTCAAAGAGGGACTGTAGCACTGGGGCTGGTGGACACGGCTACTCCTGCTGCTTTAGTTTTGGCTTCAGCAGTTGAAATCTTGGTCTCCTGGAGCGCACCCTTGGAAAGAACGCCCTGCGTGTTGGTCTCGCGTGGAGGAAGAGGCTGGGAAACCTTGTCCCAAAGGTCAAAGGTCAAGTCAGCTCTTGGTCAGTCTTGGTGCTGAAAGTTGATCCTGGCGTAATACCACTACAAGGTTATGCAGGGCAGCTGGTGATCTGCTCTCGTATTTTAATTTCTCCTCCACGCCCAACCCCCCCAAATGTTGATGAGGTAGTGGAGCTATGCTAGGAATTGATAATTGCTTTTCTGTAAAATTAGGACAGGAAAAACTGGGAATGTTTTTAATTTCCCAGAATAGTTGGAGAGCCTATGGATATTCCAATGTTGCAGTCCTTTGCCTTGTAATTAGCCAGCATCGAAGTATCAATTTACTGTTTTGTAGTGATCATGAATGTTGTAATGATCACGTGTGGGAGCAAGGTCTGTGTGAAATCGGGTTTTGATTTTTCAGATGACATTTTCTGTGAGGGGTTAAGCAATGCTGAACACAAAGATCCACTTGGAAGAGTGACAACCGGACTTTGTACAGCCTCATCCATTGTGCTGTATGAGCACATGAGAAGAAAACACATTTTCTAGCTAGAAAACAAGAAAGGCTTTTTCACATAGCTGCATCTCGGACCCCAGGCATGTGCAAAACTTCCTTGGATGTTTTTTTTTTTTCCCTCATCTGCATTCTTCGGATAAGCAGAACACCGATCCACGGGACGCTCAGCGCATAAACTTGCAAAAACCTCTGGCTTTCGACTAACAAGGCCGAATCTCAAACCTGAATCCACGTTCACACAGCTCCACCGCCAGTGGTGGGCAGCGCAATAGGAAAGGTTTGGGTTGTACTACCCCCCCCCCCCCATTTTAAGGGAGATTTTAAAAGCCCCCAGCTTTTAGTTTTCTGTGCTTCCTGGGACACTTGGAGACCGTCACAAAAGGGCTTAAAGGTGAGGAATGGGAGCTGTGTAGGGAGTCATGTGCTTGATGAAATGGCCTGACCCAGGGGGACACATTCAAGTGGAGGAGACCCTGCCTGTTTTTCCTAAGGGATGGGCAATGGCAGCACACAGCCCATCGGTAAGGTGGAGGTGCTTGGAAGAAATCTATCCCATTTTGCAGAGCTAAAGGCATGGCTGATCTTCAGTGGTATTGGGCCGGGAGTGCATTTCGTACTGCAGCCTTTCAAAGAACAGGAGACCGAGCTGGAATAGCTCTGGTCAGGGTTTGTGAATGTCGCTCTGCTGCATGCTGAGAGGAGGTGAATGGCACTGTTTTTCCACACCTGTCTGTGAGGGAGAGACTCCTGGAGATCTGGCCCAGTAGGGAATTTTAGTCAATGACTATTGCAGGGTTCCCACAAGCAAAAAAAAAAAAGTTTCTGCTGTATGCTGATGAGCCTGTATAGGCATAGTACTGTTTTGTATTGTAAATTGCTGGGGTGACAGTGGTCGATGTGGTCATGCACAGGGGATAGCTCTTCTTAGTGGTGCTTTTTGTTCTCTGTTAAAGGCTCAGTTGTGTCCAGTCATGGTCTCCACCTGGCCTGGGGTGGCAGCATGTTTTCCAGGTCTTTTTAAGGCAGCAGAACTTGACTAGCTGAGAGGAGCTGTCGAATTGGCTCATTTAAGAGGATGATGATCTGCTTCAGTGGTATGTGTTGGCACTGGGGCCCGGGGTTCAATTCTGGACCTGGGGTGCTGTCTGTTTGGAGTTTGTGTGTTCACCCTGTATTCATATGGATTTCCTCCCACAGTCCAAAGTCATGCTGGCAGGTTAATTGGCTCCTGGGAAAATCTGGCCCTATTATGAGTGTGTGCGTGTCCTGCGATAGACTGGTGTCCCATCCAGGGTGTATCCTGCCTTGTGCCTGTTGCTTGCCATCTCGCCTATGACCCTGAATTGGAGAAAGCAGTCTGGTAATGGATAGATGGCTGATCTGCTTCAGGTTTGTAAGAGGCAAATCTGAACTGAAAACCAGCAAGCTGACCGGCCATCCAGGACCAGAGCCAGCAGAACAGTTCATACTGCAGCATCGGGCAGAGTGGGCTGTTCCTTGTGTGTCATTGTAAGTCTCTGCACCACTGGCTGCTGAATCCTTGGAGTCCGTAGCCAGAGGTCAGATGAGTAAATAATGTTCAGTTCAGGGTCCTCTTTGGTTTATCATGACAGACTTTACACCAGCATTTATTTGTTTTTTTTCTGGAAGAGGCAATAAGTAGGAGAGAGAGATTTGGTGCAATGAAATTAAAGAGGAGCCGTCACTTGTATTAAGATGTATTCGCCCTGGAGCTCTGCTTACTGGTATAGTTTCCATCCTCCCTCAGTGCAGTGGATTCACCCTGATGTGTCCATGAGATTTTTGTGAAAATGCAAAGAAAAGTAGTTCAAACAAGCATGGATCATCACTAATGCAGGTACTACTTGCCCATTTCATTAATGTCTGTGTGTTTTTCCTTTCAAACAAGAAATGTAAGAGTACATTTTTTTTTTATAGTCATGGCTAAGCTTTCAACACTCATTCAGCTCACCCTTAGCGTGTTTAGATGTCTGTTCTCTGTCAAAGATTTTTTTTTTAAATAGTGTTTTAGGACCGTCAAGCTGTGCTTGGATGATGAACAGAAGTACTGATTGTGGAGCCTGATGCTCTTGGTGTTAGGGTGTTTACAGGCTGACCCAGAGTCTGATTGGGCCGGTACCGGCCCAGCTGGGGCGGAACAGACCCAGTGATTATTACCGGCCTAATGTAAAGCTGGGTGCAGCTCATCGAGGTGCAGGCATAACGTGACGATTCAAGATGTCACTTTTATCACGCCTTTTGTGTAGTGGTGGAAAAAAAACATTTCATGCTTCAAATATTTACATTTATATGCCTGTCAATGTGTAATTTCTGTCACTACATAAGTGACCCATGATACAGTGTTTCAGTCTCTTTACTAAGCACGTTTGTAGTTCACCTGTGTCTTGGGTCTGTGGGCGATTACTCAGGTCTCCAGCAATGCCACATGGGAAACCTGTCGACTTGGGTCTTCAAGCGTTGTTTTACTGAAGAGTGTGCTTTTTCATTCGGCCCATAGGCCAGGATGATGAACCCTTCTTTTAAAATAATTCATTGAGTCTGGATTATTCCGTGACCAGCCTGGCTCACAGTGACTGGATTTTCACCACGTTTTAGACACGGGACTTCTACCGTGCAAAATAAGTGGATGCTTTCAAGACGGGCATATCTTGTAATCGTGCCATGGATGGTGACATTAATATTTTCTGTTTTTGAACCTCTGGGGCTGGGAAAAGGAAATGATGTTCCTCTTCCCCAGCACATAATCGAGAGGAGTCCTGTAACAGGAAGAGAAACCCTCATCCCCAGTGCAGAATTTATAAGCCCTTGTCCACTTTAAAGACACGGTCTGAGTCATTGTGAGCGCTAACCTCTAGAGATTCTGTATTTTATTTTCCCTTTGCCAATGATGCGGTTAATACTGTAAATTGTATTTTTATGGCAGATCAGGTTGACGGGCTGTTTTGCCAACAGCAAATAAATTCTGCATGATACAAACCTCGAGTCCTATGTTTTTTTTCCCCAGTTTGTGTGCATGGCCTGGGTGAAGGACAGGGGTTGGAAAAAAAAGATGTAAAAAACTCAGTTGTAATAAATCACAGTAACACTTCCTCCAAAATACTGCCTTTATTAAAACACGTGCACTGTTTTATACATACCGAGCAGCAGACGGTAATCGTTCCTTTGCCAAGCTTAGGAAAACAGCGGTTATAACTTGGCTTTTCTTTCTTTAAAAAAATAAAAATGAACAGGAATATCGAAGATGGGTTCCAGTCAGTTTCAAATGCTGCTCATTAGAAATTTGAGAAAATAAAAAATTGAAAATACATTCTAAATTACATTATATACATTCTGTATCATTTACACTTTTGTATATATAGATCTCTGTACAATACTGTCACAGGCTATAGGTAAATTATTGAAGGTCAAACTCTTATCATCCCTGAGCTAAAGTAACTGGTTAAGCCACCATGACAGAGTGGTAGATTGACCTAGGCAACCTTACAACATCCTTAACGCACTCTTGTCTTAATTTTCTAATGTGACATGTATTCCAATGAAAGGATGTCATCCAGCACTATGGCGAGATCTGGAGGAAGTGGTCTGTCAGTGGTTCCCCATCCTGCTCCGGCAGGAATGCTGTGTCCTGCTGCTTTCCATTCGAACTGAGCTCAACGCCTCTAGATGACGTAATGGATCAGTTTGGCTTTCTGTTAATGCAACTTATTTCTCAGCTGGTCCTAAGCAGCAAAGCATCCTCCTTCAAGGGTTCTGTCTCCAGCTTTGGCGCAGAGAACGCTACACAGCCTCTCCTCGCCTTGCTGGCCAGTATTTTGGAGTAAAAAGATGTCAAGGATTGATCTGTGGATGATGAGCGGACTGGTGGGAATGACACTATCAGACTCCACCCACAGTGGGTGTGACACTGCATCAGACCTGCCCACAAGTGATACAGTGTCAGACAAGCCCACACCAGAAGTAGCACTATCACATCTGCCCTGACTATCAGATCCACCCACAATGAGCGTTTTTTCTTTCTACAGAGGTCCAGCTCATTACATTTCATGCCAAACACCCTGAATAGTGCCAGTTCGGAAAGAGGGTTGATACCACTACAGATCCCAATTTAACTTTTAAGAGATGAAAGCCAGTTTATAAATATGCCGCTGTATAGAAAACCTCCATTAATCCTGTTATTAATAACATATCTGGAGTAGAATCAGCAGACTCGGGGTTCCTGGTAGGCCAGGGTAGGGGCCGGCGCACTATGAACCGGAGAGTATTCACAGTAGCTTGAAGTTGAGTCATGAGCTAAAGTCGGTTAAGAACAGATACGAATTCGAAATCCCCACGGCCACTAGTTGTAACTACAAACTGCCTTTTAAAATCCCGGAGAAGCGCGCTCCTCGTCGTGCGCTCTCGCCGAAGATGTGGAGTCTCGTCCGGTCGGACGGCGGGAAACCGTGGAAACGAAAATGGCCGCGGCCGCCCCGGTCTCTCGTCACAGACACTTGAGGAAGAAGAAGTTGCACTTGACGCCTCTCGGACAGTCGCAGAGTTTGCCAAAGCGAGCTCCTTTCTTCACTGAGCAGTAGTCCCCGATATCACACTGCGGAGACGCAGACGGGTAAGTCCATTAAAACAACAACAACAACAACAACAACAACAACAGCATTAATAATATGAATTACGAAGCAGGAGACGGAATGAAACGAGGCGACGTCTCTGTGCGGTAGGAGCCGTCAAACTTTCAAGGGCAAAGAGAAAAAGCGTTTCTTTTGTCACGACAGCTGTGTTCAGTGGTCGATATTAATTTTGATGATTAGTACACCCTTTAGCTGACGCCCAGATCCAGCACTACATACATTTTAAACAACAGCATACTAAACCGTACAATGCTAAACGTGGAACTGAGCAATTATGAATTCCCAAACCGTAAAAAGAACAACAAGAAGGAAACCTACATAGTACAAGGACAGGAATAACATAATTCGGGATTGTCTTTGTAACTTCTGTTTAGAAAATAAAGTCGCCTCATTTTCACACTACGCTGTTTACAGCTTCAATGATAATCGTACTTTTACCACCTTCATTTAAAAGTAATTGTCTAATCCTTTTGACCTAATTGTCTAATCCTAAAGCGTCCTCCGTGATCGAAGACCAAACTGAAATGTCAAGCTGTTAACTCCCCGCAGGGTGTCACTCGGTGACAGATCCAGGGCTTTTAAACGTCTCAGGTTTTGCACAGCTGTTGGAGACCCGCCTGTAATGAACGGGGTTTAAAGCGCTCAGGTTGGCTTTGGTGTACATTTATCGTGAACGGGGCGTGTATTTCCTACCTCCGTATGAAATAAGAAATACCAGAAGGTATCAGGAGCATACAGCAGAGGCTAAAAGGATTAAATGGATGGTGGATGCTGCACACTGGTGGTGGTGGAGGGGATTCCCATTACCTGTAAAGCGCTTTGAGTGGAGTGTCCAGAAAAGCGCTATATAAGTGAAAGCAATTATTATTATTATTATTATTAAATATGAACCCCAGGAGGTTCCGCACCTGAGGCAGGCGGCTCAGTTTCTTCTCCCAGGTCCCCAGCCTCCGGTTCTGAAGCTTTTCCAGGACGTGCTGGAGAGCGCCGAGCTGTGGCAGACACAAACAACACCGACACATCGGGTTACAGCTGGGAACGAGTCAGCAGCCAACACTGGAATAAACACTGCACGACTCTGGGATATCACCTCATCCCCTGGCCGCCGGTTTCATCCCAGCTCCGCCCCTCCTGACCTCGGTCAGCGTGTTCCTCTCAAACTGTTTCATTTCAAACTGTTTGTCAGCTTTTGCAGGACGCTGGTATTTTGAATAAACCCAGAAAGGCTGCAGGCACGTTCGGGAGACCTTAATAGAAGCAGAACTGACTAGTCCTTTTGGTAGCCAGGAGCTGACTGAGCCCGTGAGCTCTTGAAAGACGTCAGGATACGGACTTCTGGGAAGCTTGTTTCACGCCCCCACCCCCCTTTGTGTAAAGACGTGCCTCCGGTTCTCTTTCACATATCGCCCTCCAACTATTCCCCTGCCCTTCCCAGAGCTCGAGGGGGTCCGGTGGTCGCCAAGAAGGATTTTCCCTTCATTTCCCGTGTTGTGAAGAGGCATCTACCACCTTGGACCAGAAGGGTTACAGGGCTCCATTTTTGTTTCTC